CCTAACAACGCCCCTCGGCTGTTATAAATTCACTGTAAACTATGGCTTCTTGGGGCTTATTGCTTTAAAATAATATTTTATAAAATAATAATAATAATAATATAAAAAAGATTAATGAAATAAAAAGATGAAAGTTATCTAATTAAACTAAATTCTAGGGGCACATAGTACCCCTCAGAAAAAGTAATTACTGGGTTTATGAATTACATTTATTGTAATGCATGACATAATATAATATATGATGCTTTGAGTGACATACGTGCTAGTGCAACAAATATTTAAGGCATTAACTATTTGAGGAGTAATTTCTTTGTCATGGACAAATATACATTTTTTATTCAATCAATGCAAAATGCAATATTATGGATAGTATTTATGGGTGAATAAAATTAAACGAAATGAAATAAAAAGATAAAAGCTAAAACATAAAAATACATTTCGGGGGCAATTATTACACAATTATTACAAAAAAAAAAAAAGAGTAAATTTTCAAAGTTAAGTTTCAAGAGATTTATTGTGATATGCATTCAATTTAATTTATTAAAACACATGCTATAATTTATGACGCTTTGAGTGACATTTAAGGCAAAAACATGAATAATTTCATTGTCATAGCACAGATATATACATGTATTTTAATCAATCAATGCAAAATGCAATATTATTGCTAGTAAGAAATAGTTATGGGTGAATAAAATGAAATAAATAATAAAAACAGATAAATAAAACAAAAAAGATAAAAGGTAAAAAATGAAAATAAATTCCAGGGGCAAATACGATCTCTAAAAAAGGTAAATTTTTGATAGTTAATTAATTAATTAACACATATAAAAGGCAAAAACTCTTTCATAAGACAAATATAAATGCATTTAATTATACAAATACATTTTAATTAATACTAAATGCAATATTATGGCTTGTAAGAAATACATAAGGGTGCGATTTCTACTCACCCCAATGAAGGGAATGAATTTCTGATAGGAATCTTCATCTCTCCTGTAAGAGGAAGTGATAAGTGAGTTGAAGCACACGGCTGAGGCTGTCATGTCTACAGTACTGAATCATGTGCAGCTGTAATGAGTGAGACGGAGCCGTACGTTCTGTGTTTGCAGGTCAGCATGGCCTCAGCGATGGGCAGCTGGTGTGTGAGAGCCGCTCCGCTGATGTACTGAGCCACACGCGCCGCCACGTCCACCGCATCTACAAAAAAAAAAAAACAGAAACACTGAAATTAACATCCAAAAATATTCGCATCAAAAAACAGAAAGAAATCATATCCATCGGTATGTCACATAGTCGTCATTCCTCTCAGCGATGCTGTCATGAGTTGTGTTTTCTTACCCAGAGGCACGACCAGGAAGCGGAGGTGATTGAGCCAATCAGACGTCTTGTTGGCCAGCTGAGTGACGAAGAACTGCAGCACTGATCCCAGATAACTCTGACCGCCGACCACCGCCACCTTCACCGGCCGCGGCATCGACGAGTTACAGTTACAGCTGCACACACACACACACACACACACACACACACACACACAC